TTTATCTTCGTCGACCACATACATCAAGTTTTCTCTCCTCTAGCGTACGGAGACTTAAACCTTATCGTGAGTCGCTTTGCTTACCAAGTCCGAGATCGTTCGCTGACATGCTGTTTACAGTGCGACTGTCCCTCCGTCGAGGAGACAGCATCTCATTAGACCTTTTTCTCGGAAGAACTCTGGGTTATGGTGTGTTTCGTGTACCCTAGGACAGGGCGTTCTATTCCTCTAGATGGCCCAGCCCAGCCCCCGATGTTTTGCTCAACCATACGCATCATCATAAACATTCTCATCGACATTGCTATCCTTACCCTCACACGCATCGCACGTTTATATCGTCATTCGTATCTTATATAATCAGCTGAATATCATCTACTTTTGTGCCGAATATCAACGTTGTCTACATGCGTCGTCTACATACGCTGTCTAACCAATTAGCTTGGGCAGGTAGTGTTTAATACGGTCGCGAATTTCTTCTTCTCGTCTCTGGTTAGCAGCAAAATTCAAGATGATCTGCGCGATCTCCTTTGTCGGGTGCACGCCTTTCTCCTTCTCCTGCGGCATCGCGACACACAGCACCTTCGTCGCCTCGTCAATCTTTCCCAGCCGACACAGGCACTCGACCCAATTCGCCCAATTCCGCTGGTTCAGCTGGAATCCCGACGCGTACACCTTCGCGAACACGTCCATCGCGAGCTCCTCCGCCCCCGCATGCGAGCACGCGTCGAGGACGACGCTCACGCTAGCGTTGTTGAACTGCCGCGTCATGTAGAGCGACTCCCAGATGCCGTACGCCTCCCGGATGCACCCCGCGCGCTGGTACGTGTCCATGAGCTGGTTCCACAGGGCCACGTCCGGCGTGATGGACGCGTCGACGGTGATCGCGTTGTGCACCCGCCGGATGGTGTGCGCGAGCTCCTCGGTCAGCTTCGCGTCGCTCCGGGCCTGCCAGACTAGGTCGCTGAGGCGGCGCAGGAGGATGGTGTAGACGGTAGCGGTGACGGGGTACCCCGCAAGCCGCATGTCGCGGACGATAGAGAGGTAGAGAGCGGATGATGGTGCGTGGCTGAGGCAGACCTGGCAGAAGGTGTCCAGTACGGCCTCGAACCCTTTCGCGTCCAGGGCAGAACTGCCGTCCGGGTACTTGTGTAGCTTCCTGTAGATCCTGTATGCCGCGTCCGCGTCTGGGGCAACGCGAATGAAAAGGATGATGAAGGATCGAGTTGCCAGGTGGTCCATCACGATTCCGCGGTCCTGGATTTCCTCGAGCAGGGACACAGCGATAGGGTAAAACTCGGGATTCGCGGAAGAACAGATGGCTCGAAGGAGGGTGTTGTAAGCAGGAAGATCACCCTGGGGAGAATGGCCTGGTGCGGCATCGCTGGTGACGAGCTGGACGTACTCTTGGAATAGGCTAATCGCCTGGCGAATATCATTGTCCGTGGGTGGTCGCATCGTTCGGGAACAGAGTACGGTGAGCACACATGAGATATCGACGGCTGTAGGGATGTGCTTGCTCTCCAAGAAGGCGCGATATGTCGTAACAACAGCCTGCGCCGAATCTGCCTCAGCAACATTCCGCATTACCGACGACCAGGCAGAATGGCTAGCGGCTATGCCGAGAAGCGCCTCCCAGCTCAAAAGGTCCTCGGGATTCGAGAGGTATGGGGCTATGTTGTCAAGAGTCGTGGTCGTGGGCCTGAACCCTGAGGAAACCATCCGCCTAAGCTCGCGTTGCGCGCGTTTCTCTTTGCCATCCGCAAACAAATCCACCAAAGTCGTGTCGAATGTAGCTGCGTCCGGAGCTGGTCGAGCTAGTTTTTTCTTGCCCTGCATTGAGGCGTAGATACGTTCGATAGGACGGGCCATGCCTAGAGCGTTCATGCTATTATACCCGCCGACAATGACCTGGAGAAGATCGGCAGAGAAGGGAACAGCGTCCTCTTTCATACGGTCTAGCACACTGCGAAGAAAGCTGGTGGGCGGCGGGTTTTTGCGATTGAGGAGGAAAATGGTCTGGAAAAAAAGCGAGTACGTCCTTGAGTCCGGCTTGACCGGACGATTATCCTGGATGTAGCGCACGTTCGCCCATGCCAAGCGAGGTTGTCCGTGCGTGAGACAAGTCTCGAGGAAGTCGTTCCACTGCTGGACACTGCTGGAGCAAGCCCCAGGCTTGTTGGGCAAGTCTCGCAACCAGGATGACGCCTCGCTAAAATGCTCACGAGATACAAAACCCTCCAATATAGCATTATGAAGTTCATCGTCTACCTCCAGCTCGAGAAGGTCTTGCGCTGCGGGTAGGGCGCGATCCAGGACCGGAATGCTACCATGCCGTCCCAAAGTGTTGAATAGGGTCATGAGAGCATTGCGGCGGTTGGCTATATCCAAAGGGAGTTTCTCCAAGATCGGAGAGCATGCACGAAGTATCCTGGTGGTAAGCTGGGGTGAGGTGTCATCGTACAGCGTAAACCGAAAGGCGCTGATTTTGCTCTTTGGTGAGGTGGAGTCTGCGCTTCGCTGTCGCTTTGTTGCGGGAGAAGTACTAGATAAAAATCTGGCGGCAGAGCGAAATGGATCCGATCGGCATGTCGCGGTGACCTGAAGGAGTGTGACTGTGTTGTTTCGTGAAAGGAGGGCTACCGGAACGCGACGTCTGGCTTCACAGACGAACCTCCTCCAGAACATGCAACTGCATACGCGCAACAAGCACCCTAAGCTGCGATTTTACATGAATTTCGCACAAGTGAGGGTGAATGGGTCAACACACCTTGCAAGCTCGCGGACCGTGGCTGGACAGTGGGAGGTGCGTGAGGACAAGCGGGCAGGCGCGAGAAGTGTTCAGATATTTGCCACGTGGGCTCCCCGCGAATGTTAGAGACGCCGAAATGCCCTGTGGGCAACTTACACGTCGACTACCAAGCCTCACCCTCCCTTTTCCGTTGCTATCCCTCGCCATGTCTGACAAAGTGAAAGAGTTTATGGAGGTCCCTCAGGAGTTTGTCAAGGAAGGCCAGCAGGTGTGTTCACACAGTCGTCTTCGACATAACAATTTCCGACCATACCACGTAGTTCCTGATACGCTGCACGAAGCCTTCGTACAAGGGCGAGTCTTACACGCAATCCTAGACATGCGTGCGGTATGCTCATCTGGTATTTAACAGAGTTCCTCCAGATCTCCAAGGCAGTAGCAGTAGGCTTCGCCGTCATGGGCTTCATTGGTTACTTTGTCAAGCTCATCCACATCCCGATGTGAGTCTTCGTGCCGCTGTTACCATTACTTATAGAGTTCCGCTAACTGTTGCTGACGTATCTAGAAACAATATTCTAGTGTACGTACTCTCGTGCATATACTATTTCGTTATGCTAATTCATGTACAGTGGTGGTGCATAAACGACGCTGTGCTTCCCCCATCGTTCGGATGCCGCAACATTTCGTGCATTCCTCCCACGCTCCTGTGCGGTGTTCGCCTGAGAGCGTTG